AATATCTATTCTTGAGATTTTCTTTTCTCAGCACCATTCCCAGTAATCACAAGATGGCTGCTGCACCGCATCAGCTGATAATCATCTCTGCTTACCGGAACCACTTTCCCGAAACTGCAGTCCATGGAGACCCACCTACAATTGCGGAACTGCACTAGACCCACCCTTAATCCAACCCTGAATAGAATCTATGTTCCCTATTCTTAAAACTTTATGAGCTGATAATTGAAACATGTAGCCCCTCTCCCTTTACTTGCATGTAACACGTTTTCAATAAAAACACACGATGATTCCTAGCAGTTGTCACTCCTCAGAGAGCGATCTTTGAGGGGTGTCCGGCAAAGGACGTGCATGAAAAGGCATCGAGGCCTCTGTCTTCTGTTCACCTTCGCTGCCTCCGTCGAGATAACCCACCCATGCCGACTGGTCCCCGGCACCCAGGGAGGATGACCACGCCGCAATCCCTTCTCCTCCATTCTCCTCTAGGGATCTTGGGTATGCATGCACACAGCCCGGTGTAAGTTCAAGTCACCAAGTCCAGGACTCAAACCACGGTCGACTACATGGGAGTCTAGCAACATAGCCATTATGCTAACTGCTGGTCTCAATATTTTATTTGCTTCCAACAATTTCAACATCACCTTCTGCTATGGTTTGGATGACGGTTTGTTACCCAAGTTTCACGTTTCGGAATTTGGCGTTGGGCAAGGGAGAGGCCTACTGGGCAGTGACTGGACTAAGGAGATGGCGTTATGGCGGCTACAGTCTCGAAGCAGATTAATGTTGTGTCCCGTGAGCTCTAGCTCTCATGGGGGAGAGGGGCTAGCTCTCCCAAGATTTGGCTGCTGGAAACAAGAGTCAGAAGTTCCCTCTCTGCACATTCCTTTCACTGTTAGCAGTGTAAAAATGGACTCAAACACATCGGCATAAAGGATTTCAATAACGAAGACACAGAGAATGTTTTACAGCTATAAGAGAAGTTTTCTAATCTTCCTATCATTGAGTATGAATTGAGCACTACATAACTCTAAAGGAATGTGATCCCCAAATCTCTTAAGACACTACATCCACCAGAATGTGTCCCTAAAGCTCAGGAACTTCGTTTTGAGAAGCTATATACATTTATTCTAAAGATACTGTCATTGCTGTCTTTGCAAATTACCATCAAGGCCTATTACAAGTCACATAAGAAAACGGTATTGTTATTTAACTCTACATTTCCACCTCTACCAAAATGGTATGACCCAGATTGACTGTCTACTTTCCTGTCTACACTTGGCTATAAATTACTTAGCCTTTTGCAAAAATCAAATCCACCTATTAAAGAGCTAAAAATCACCAAGACGCCAAACAGGCAACAGCGGTGAGGCAGATCTGAGCACAATTTTGAGACAGGCATTCCCCACACCATTCCCAACTGCGTGCAAGTGCAGGGTAAGCACCTCCCTGGGGAGCTGGTAAAGAAATGTCCTTTTAGAATGGAGAATTTTAAGTGGCTCACAAGGACCCTGGCACATTGCAGGACTGGCGCTCCTTCCCTCACTCGCCATGCGCTTGCTCCTCTGAAGTCACCAAGCTCTTTTCTTCAAGCCCCTTAGCATGGCCCCTCCGCTCGCTCCCTAACTAGGCTGGGTCTCCCTATCAAGTCACACGGCTTCCTCCATAATCTCACTGCCATCCTCAGCAGCCACACCTCCTTCCGGTGGGTTTGCACCTGGCTTCCAACCAGGAACCTGATGTCCAGACACCTTCAGGTGCACAGGAGCCACCACGCACCCGTGCCTTCCTGCTCCGCTGAACACCAGCATCGCCCTGGCAGGGCTGCGTTGTTCCCCGTAACATCTTCCTCAACGTCTCCCTCTCTCTCAGGCACTTTCCTCCCTGATGTCAGAGGAGACGCCCTCTACTCACGCTTCAGCCACAATTTAACTGTGGTTGCTTTTTCCTATCCCTTTTTTCTCTTCCTGTCTTTTCTAAAACAATGTTACAACAAAACCCAGTTCTGCATTGACAGCTACTTCCTGCCTCTTCCTGCTCAGCAAAGTCCAAGGTCAAACTACCGCGTACTGAAAACAGCGACCAAAACCAAAGAGAACCACGGCTGGCCCCACGGCTGGCCCCACGGCTGGTACCATGCCTGCCCACGGCTGTGCTGTCTTTGCTTTTCTCCTCCATCCTCCGAGACCTCCCAAGTGGGCTTTGCCCCCCAGTCCACAGACACTGCTCTTGTGTGCTGCACTGAGACACCCGGATTGTGAAACCCAGTCCTCCCGCCTCAGTTTGACCTCACTTGGCCTGACCTTCCTCTCCTCATGAAAAGGCATTCCCTTGGCTTCTGGGGCATGGTGCTTTTTATCTGCTGCCACTTTCCAGGGTCTCAGTCGCCTTCCCCTTCTTTGTCACACCTCCACCTACTCCCCAGGCCCCTGCCTACTGGGTCCCTGACTCCTCTCACTCCATGCCTTCGGGGGAAGGTATCCTTCACTCTCCATACAGATGACTTCCGTTAAAGACCACCTCTCTCCTCTCACCACCATTTCAATACATAAATGATATGATCCTTTCATGGCTGAGATCAAAACCATTAGAAGCCCCCCATGCATGTTGGATGCAGTCCAAGCACAGAGGGCATTCTGCAGTCTGGCTCTGCCTCCACTGTAGCCTCCCTGCGGAGCCCTCCCTCCTCACTTCCTGCGATCCCTCCCTCCACATTCCCTGCGATCCCTCCCTCCACATTCCCTGCGATCCCTCCCTCCACACTTCCTGCGATCACTCCCTCCTCACTTCCTGCGATCCCTCCCTCCACACTTCCTGCGATCACTCCCTCCTCACTTCCTGCGATCCCTCCCTCCACACTTCCTGCGATCACCCACTCACAGTTCCGCACCTTCACACATCTGGTCCTGTGTAAGGCAGTCCTACTCCATCCTGACCACACTTTCTGTGACTGCCTTTAGGATACAATCCATGCCCCATCCAAATCTGAAAACTCCCTCCTGTG